TGGCAACTCATCCCACTGGAAAGCCAGGTAGCCATAACAAAGCTTTTTTGTCACCAAGCTATCCCAGCACCATAAAGTACATGACCTTCCTGAGACTCCTTTACCAGCCCTCTCGACTACATGTGAGCATGTGCTGTGCATGCCCCCCACCCAGCACGGGAATGTGTCCCTGTGTCCATATGCATAGGTGCTCCATGCCTGCCCATGAATTCCCGTTTCATCCCCATGATTATGTGCTCCAGTGTGAAATGGATGAGGAGAGTGAAAACAGACCTATGTAGATCTGAAGGGGGAGTGTGGGATGGATAAGAAATGTTTTCTTCTGTCTGTGGATCATACCTAATCCCTTGAATTGACTCTGATAGTCAGGAACATGATTAGCACAAAAAATTATAGGTTTTAGACCTACAATAAAAATACATTAAAGCACAAGAAAATGCTTGACAAATGCATTTTCTGAACATTCATTAAACATTAAATTGCACTGGTCTTGGAAGGTTCATTTTTTTTTTTTATTAGAGATGCTCAGGGCAACTTGAGAAATATCTTGAAAATTGTTCAACGTGAGGCTGAAGCAAGAGGCTTTGCTTGTTGACATGAGCATGCAAGAGGTAAGGTGACAAAGAGAGAGAACACAACAAGCCCAGCTGTCAGGCCTGTGAACACTGTTCAGCACCAGAAAGGTCACGAACATGTTCTAAATCGCAGTGGATTTACAGACAATCTTGTCCTACTGAAGCTCTTGCACAAAAACTGCCTTCAGGGCCAGCAGATCATTCAGCAGCCTCCCAAATGCTGTTGGGATTCATCTGCTGCCATGTACCTTCTTCCTTCCCTTCCCCCTCCACCCACCCATAGAAAAAGTCTGGGAAAAATAAACCTCAAGCTAAACTTTCTGTGCAGTTGGGATAAGGAGGCATTTCAACCCCTAGAGAGGCATTCACTCGATATGTGAACATCTACTGCAGCACTCATACAAGTGTCTCATGCCAGTAGGCCCCATTCCCTGGGTTTAGTTTGGATGGTGGGTACAGATCCATTCTCATGGGTGTGAGGAAGCAACATCCTGTGCTCCCTGGCACTGCTGTGAAAAAATCCATAGAACACAGGCTTGGCTCAATTTACACGATAGACTGGTGCCTAGAGCTTTTGATTCTGCGTCATCTACAGAAGAGTTCAGGCCATGTATTAATTGTTTGGCTCTGGCTCAGCCCTGCTGTAAATGTAACAAAACCAGTGTGTAGTATTGACCATCTCTACTCCAGAAAATCATTCTCACTATCGAAAAAAGCTGTCTGCCCATGGCTCCAGCAATCATGTGACTGGGAAGGGGGGCTCAATGCAAGAGGGAACCAGTGTACCAGTCTGCACAACACAAGCTTAAGTGAAGGCCAGCAATCCCTCATTCCTATAAGCAAAGAGTTTACTTGAAATTTTTTAATTTTATTGAGACAGAAAAAAAGTTTTGTGGCTCAGTAGCCACCAGCTATAATTCTGTATTCTATACTCATTAAAACGTGAATGCCCTTTCACCATTTACCACAACCCACACTTTACACATTGCCTTTAAACACTGAGTGATGAATTTCAGCCACCCTCTCATAAAATATGGAGCAATTCTGCCAAATTCCCTTCCACGCTCTTCATTTGATGGCAAAATAACAGAGGAACCATAATTCACTTGCTATCATTCTTTTCCTGCTAGTGTTTTATTCAGAATGAGCTTCATTAGTAAAGATGAAACTTTGGACTCATGACTGCTCCATGTTTACAAAACATACAGGCTCCTTTACATCGTGGTTAAGCATGAACAATCACTGAACACACAATTTCCTAAAAAAATCCTGCATACCAAAATTGGATATTTTGAATTTTTAAAATTCACTAAACAAAATTTCACAGAGTGAACCCTAAAGTCTGTTTGCCAGCAAAGCACAAGCCAACAACGGAAGTAGGGACCATCCAGGAAAAAAACTGAAGCTGGACCCCAATGCACACATCCTTCCTATTAAACAAGCAAGTAAATACACATTCATACAGAGTAATGTGCTCTAAAAATGCAGGTGCTTAAATTACTACCCACACATTTTAGCATAAATTTTGGTTTCTCAAACAGTACTAGGTCACAGTAAGCTTCTTTCTTTTTGGTGGAACTGGGGCAGTGACTTCTTACTGGACACCAGAGAACAAAAGCTAACCTGGAATCTGATGGTTTTGGCACAAGTCCAAATGTGTTTCTCCACAAAGGAAAAATTACAAAGACAAGGTTGGTTTTTTTAAAATAATAATAAAAAAATTAGCAGTATCACTTTTTAATGCCAGGTATTGAACCAAGGAATGGGACAGACTGCACTGCATTTTTAAAGTATTATGACTATTGACATACTTGAGAAACATTTTAACACTGTACATTACAACAAACTATTTAGTTCATTTCTACACAAGTCAGCAAAAAAGCTAGGTGATCTAACATATATGACAGCTTCAAATTTAAAATTCTAGTCACAGTCTAAAGCCAGAACAAAAACTTTTCCAGAACTCCTATTTATAAAAAGGAATGAACATACACACCATGCGTGTACACGCAGGCAAAAATCTTGAGGTTTTACTTATTGCTCTTACACAAGGCTGTGAGCAGGCAAATGTCTGGATCAGAAATTAGGTCAAACATGCATTTCAGCAGGCACAAAAGTACAGGAAATTCATATTAACGAAACAATGTACTGTGTTACATAGTACAGGATGGTATTCTGCTAATATAACACGTCATTAATTCCGGATAAACTCCAGGTCTGCCTGTTGTATAATGTGTTATGCAGTGTAGTATTTTAACCTAATTTCTGATTCCTCTTTTATTCTGCACTCTCCATATGAAGATGAAGAGGGCCTTTCTTGGCAATGTCAGAGAATCCTCGGCCTCGAGAGCTTCAGTTGGGCAGGTATGGCTGGAAGGAGGCAACATTACCACCACTGTGCCACCAGGACCTGCTCCCTGACTGCCTCATGGTTTTGTGCATTCACTGATAACTCAGATAAACAAATGCAGAATGCACCAGCACTGTTCTAGGAGCATCTTTCACCTATGCCACAAGCTTCTGGTACACCCAGCAATCGCTACAGGATAAGGCAGTAGAGGGTCAAGTCCTGTGTCTGGTCAGTTCCTCAAGAGTCTTATAAAAGGCAGGAACTGGCTTTCTTTTACACAATAAGCAGCGTAGCATGGATGTCAGTGGAAATCTGGCTAGCTACTGGCAACAAGAGACAAGCACGTTCACAAGACACATTTGGGAACACCTGGTGCTCCCTACTGCAACCAAATGAAACATGCTGCGGAGAGGTGTCCATGTAATTACAATATTTGCAAGCCAAGTTCAAGGCATACTGCACACAGGCCTTGCGCAAAAAAGGCATTGAATGGATTATCTGAAAACTTTTTTTTCTTTTCCTGTGCTATGCATACGTACAACAGTAGATAAAAATCAGCACAATGGTTCCTCTCCATATGTGACCATACACACATCATCACAACTGAGCACCCTATATTCTATTCTTCCATTAACAGGAATCAAGGAAGAAAATGGTGGTTTAGAAACGGGGAAGGAAAGAAATCCAGCATGAAGTCAGAGGTATGTTCCTGACAGAGTGTGAGCTGAGAATGTTTATTGTGAACCAGCAACTGGATTTTGTGACAAAACCAGAAAACCAAAGATGACTACGGAGCCAACTTTGGCACTGCATAGTCAAAACTGTGTTATAATATGGCACTCAGCAATCTCCAAGAATTAGAAAGAGCAGTAGACAGACAACAAGAGGACACGCTTCAGGGAGGTAATACCTTGTACTCAAAAAAAGAAGCAGCACAAATCAACAGTTTTTTCTGTCTTATTAAAGGTCTGCCATGTGCCCCTTGTTCCAATCCCTAAATCTCATATAAGTTTCAGCAATCAGACTTGCCAAAAACCCAAACTCACACTGGGCTCAATTTTACTTATGAGCAGTACTACTAGAGCTGGTGGGAATGCTTAGAGCAAGATGCTACTGCAGTGAACATTTAAGAATTTGGCTCTTCCCAAGAAGTGAACTGCAAATGACTGGGGTTTCATGACAGTCACAGGTGGAGGGAGAAACTTCCTGTGTTTGTTTTTCAAATCCGTCCTTATGAAATTATCAACATTAGTAAGACTGAAACATGGGAAGAGGCTCTGTTACACTCACCCAGACATTCTGACACCAGGACAGCCACAGCAGTTTAGGAGGGGTAGCCCACACAGTAAGGGATTAGGCTGGCCTGGATTCTTTGAGATAGGTCACTGCCTCTTACTAGATGACTGCACACAGAAGTCCTTGGTCTCAGTTTTGATGGTGAAGCTTTCTCAGAGCAACACCTCTGTCAAACCACCCATTAGTGCACAGTTGCAACTCCTAGGAAAGAGGGAGGTAAAACAGGTCTAAATTCTTCAAAAACATTTAAGTAAACCTAACCTGCAGAAAAAATTAGGAGAAATATGTTATCACATCCATGCAGGAGTCCTAGGACTTCTCATGACCCATTTCTTCACTAATGGCTATGAAAGCCAGGTCACCAGGAAGTCTGCAGCCAGACTGGAGGTAAAACAGCATGTGCAATGTCTACCATGCAAAGCCATCCTTCCTCTAAAGCTGGTTAGGCAGAACTGTTTTGACTGCACTTTTAGGTATTCTTTCTAGCCCATTTTGCATCCCTTCTTGAAAGCTCCTTCAAACAAAAGATGCTGGAAGTACCACTTCCCTGTAGTTGAAAGAAATGGGGAAAAACAGAAGCAAAAAACAGACACCAAGGAAGGAAATGATTGCTTGTAAAATGCTTCCTTTTAGAAACTACTATACAACTCCCTAACTTGGTTTCATTAATACGCCATTTAAAACATATAAAATGCCTTACCAGCTAAATGATTTCTTTGTTTTACGAGTCTCCCTCCCTCCCTCCCCTCATTAAAAAATAATGCATGTGTGGACTGGTATTGAACACCTCGTAGAGTTGTGCGCCAGTTCTCATTTCATTCTACGTGGAGCAGTTTGGATTTTAATATACCGTGTTTAAAGAAGAGCCCGTACTGTATGCTTCACAGTATAACCAGCTACACAGAGGTCTTTAATCTCATAATACAATAAAAAAAGATCACTGTGAAGTTGCAGTCCCTTTGATAAATGGTTGCGGTGACACATGCAGTCCTCCTCAGTGCCACTGCCGCCAGACACGGGACGTGATTTTCTCCGCAGGCTGCCGAGAGGCCTGATGCCACCCCTGCGGGGGCCGCAGCCAGGCGGGCACCGCTGCCCCGCTGCACAGCGTCCTGCAGTCACTGGGGAAAGCTGCACGGAATTGTCTCGCTCAATGCCACCACCACCGACCCAACCTGACCCCCGGGGGAGCGCAGCCCCTGCCGCCTCAGCCGCAGGAGATCACCGTGAAGCGCTTGGAAATGCACGACATGTTGTGGAGGACGATGCCCAGGAGGAAGACCAGGACGCAGGCCACCAGGATCACAGTGCACACCCCTGACCAGGTGGAGCTTTTCACAGCGCCTCTCCGGTCCGGCTCCTCCGCCCCCGCCTCGGCGGGAAGGCCGCCCTGCAGCGGCTGCTGCTCTGCGGGGATCGTCACCACCGTCAGGGACTTCTGCTGGCTGCCGGGCAGGAGACGGCAGCCAATGTCTCCCGGCAGCAGCGCCCGCTCCTTGGAGAGAGGCAAGGGCAGCATGTAGCACCCATTGCTGGGGAGTTTGATGAAGACAGGGGTGTGCTCCGAGGTGTGGGGGATCGCGATGACGGCGATCACCTCGGGGTCATCGGGCAGCTGTGAGACGGAGTAGCCCGGAGGCAGCTTGGTGATCCCACGGCACCAGGGGCAGCGCAGGTCCTTCTGGCTGGTCCTCATCTGCTGCAGGCACACGGAGCAGCAGGTGTGCTTGCAGTCCAGCAGCTTGGGCCGTCGGCGGGGGCTGTAGTAGTTGAAGCAAATCTGGCACTCCAGCAGAGAGTCCTGGGATAAGGTCTCCATGGTGACTGGCACAGGGAAGCTCAGCAGGCCCTGTGGTGACCCTCGCCCTGACACCCTGTAGGCAAGGGATAGCGGCCTTCCCACCACTTCTCCTCAGGTCAGCACTCGCCTTCCCAACGCTGCTTTTCCTCAGCACAGCACCGGGCAGCAGCTACAGAGAGCACAGGAAAACCTCTGGCTTGAAACTTTCAGTACCTGAGACAAACAGAAAAACATGAAAGAACAGGTTACTCACAGGAGCCTATGGGAACAGAAGAGTCCCACCAAAGGAGAACGAAAACTAGCACTGAGTTTGTTATCTGGTGGAAGAAACAGATTTGGTATCCTTCACTAGAAAGTACCGTCCCACCACCTTCACCAAACAGCCCAACCTTCAGGCAAACCTTCAGGTCAGTCATCAGTATTATCACTAGGTTTCTTTTTTTTTTAATCCTAATTTTCCCAGCAAGCAAACCCCCATCAACCCATCATTCTCTGTTACATTTATGCCCCTAACAGAGGTGGCTGTACAGTTCACTAGCCAGGTCCCACAGCAACAACCTCCAGTCATATTTTCAGGATTTTTCAGCCCTTCCTGCACCAAAACAATTGTTCTCATTTAATCCTTTAAATCCCTGAGGATTTTTAGCTATTTGGCCCAACTGCTAAGTCTGCATGAAATGTAGGGGAAAGAAAAAGTATGTTTAAATGGAAGCATTTCCACAGGCTCCTGAACTTGTGCCTGTGCATGAATGAGCAACCAAGCAACTATACTGCGAGACCTACGTTTGCACATAATGAAAAGGAATGGTATCATTTTCAGTCAAATTAACTGTTTTCCAGTTACATGAGCAGCTTGTTGAACATGGCCCTCAAACATAAACCTTCTCACTAATGAAAACCTCACCCATGGCAAAAGGCTCTGTTTAGACCCAGGACCACTGAATACCACGAAGAACAGAAACAAAACAGAATCATAACAGAAAGAAAGATAGTGCACTGAATTACAATTGTTACTAATCTTGTTCTAAATCCTTCCAAAGGGATTCCCTTTACAATTTCCATTTTCTCACTTATTACTTACATCTTTGCCAAAAAAAAGGCATCTGCACAGTGCGTAGTTTAGCTTTGTTTGATTTTGGTCACTCCAACACAATTAATACGAAGAGGTGACAGTTTTACAACATTTTAAACTCACTTCCTTCCTCTGTTTGAAGAAGTATCAGCCTGAATTTGCTCCCAGAAAATAAAGAAAACCCAAAATATTTGCAGGGTGGCCTTTGATCTGTTACTGCAATGTTGTCAAAATACAGTTAACACCCAAGGACCACAGCTTTCAGAGGACTTCTTCCTTTCTATCCTGTAATTTCTTGCTCTCTTTTCTAGATTATAAGATCTAGGTTGTAACATATTAATCAATGGGTGATACCAGTAAAACAAATACCATAGTTTAAGAACAGAAGGCAGGCATAGACGTGGGGTTTGCAACCCAGGACAGCGCTCTGGACCTCACTGTACTGTACCCTACTTCTGGCAGTTCCCAATATTTGAATAGGGAAAACAAAATTCACGTAATCTCTTCAGATGCTGATGTCTGGTATCTCTGACATTGGCAGAACTGGCCCTGCTTGCTGATTTTGTAACATCAGTGGATTTTGGCTCACAAGATACTTCAACAAACACACAGTGATAATCCTGACTCGGGAGGGAGCGGGGGTTGCGGTCAAGAAGGCAGGAGTTCCTGAAACACGTACAATGGGTGCAGGGGGAACTGGCACACCCCAGCACTTTTGGGATGCTTTATCTTAATGTGGCACAGAGGCCGCTGCTGAGACAGACCCCCACTATCATGAAGCCCATGAGACACTTGCTCCACACCAGTGCCATGCCCCACAAAGGCATCAACAGATACTCCATGTGCTGAGGAGCTGAACACTGCTTCCGAAGGGGCTACACATCTGCTTGCTGTGTGTGGGCCACACCAAGGCAAAATGGAAGAAAATGAGAAGAGGTTTTATCTTCCTTATTTCCTTATCCATTACTACCTCCATATGCCTATGGTACAGGCACTCACAAAGGAAGACTAACAAGAAAGGAGCTGACATGATAATAGACTAGCATGCAGCTGAGACAGAAAAATGAAAGAGAGATACCCATGATGTTGGGCAATTTCTGGCTGAAAAAAAAAATTAAGAGACAATGGCCAGAATAGAAATTAGTTATAGAAACTCAGAAAAGAATCACCGAAGCTGCCAGATCCAGTTTTCAGCCACAAGCAGATTTGTATTTTGCACAGAAGTATTCATCCAAAATCTTCAGTTACAGACTGTCCATGTCAAAACTGAGCTCAGACATTACAAGACACAACTATTACCTGCAAATCTAGAAATAAAAAAAAAAAAAAAATCTCAGGTATAATACTGCAGTATTATTACAAGAAAAAAATCCCAATGCCTAGAAATTCAGAAGTTAAGGTTTATCATAAAATCATAGAAGAGCTTCAAAGATCATCTGGTTCCAACACATGTGTGTGGGCAAGGACACCTTCCAATAGGACCAGGTTGTCGGAGCTCCATCCAGCTTGGTCTTGAACACTTCCAGGGATGGGGCATCCACAGCTATTCTGGGCAACCTGTTCAGTGCCTCACCACCCTCCCTGTAAAGAATTTTTCCCTAATACCTAACCTAAACCTCCCCTCACTTTAAAACCATTTCCCCTTGTCCCGTGACTACTCTGCCCAAGGGCAGAGTGGAGGTAGTCCTTCTGCAGATGTAAATCAGTATCTCTGCGAGGTCAGGATTGGGCGCACCACCCACGTGATAAACTGTTCATACTTTCCCAAAACATCTCAAATAATAATCAGAGGTGCTGATCAGAAGTAATGGCCAACAAGCAGAGAGCTTAGTATGATTCCTTCAGAACGTAACTAAAGACAAGTTAAAGAGTAGCCACAGCCACCTAACCCCTTGGCCTTTGCTGACATTGCCTTGGTTCAAAGGTTGGACATGTAGCTTCACAGGTGCAACGCAACTTTATTTCCAACCATACAACCATTTCCCTCTTGCACCCTGCCACAGCTCAGTTTCAGGACAAAAGAAAGTCAAGCTATCATCTAGAATAAGTAAGAACCTGTTTGAAAAAAATTTGCACTACGTACCCGAGAAGGAAAAATCCATGGGAGCACTTTCAGTACTCTTCTACCACTTCACTTTAATAACTATGCCAAGAGGAGCACGTTTCCTCTCGGACAGGAGACCAAGCTCTTTAGCTTGCACTCAGTGCACCCTCACACCCGCTGAAGGTACTGAGCTGTCACAGGTGAACAGCTCATGCAAAGCTTACACTGGATTCTTCTCTGTGCTTCAAGCACAAAGATGGAGAGGCAGCCAGAACTGCACATGAGGGCACGGCTGACGTCAGGTATCAGCCAAAACCACTGTTGTGTCATTTGCTTTCATCACACAGTGACACTCAAGGTGGACAAAGGGACTCTTAAAAGAGGGAAGCAAAGAGGAGAGAAAAAAAGCAGAAAAGACTGTCAAGGATACCCACAGGTCTCTGCAAAAGCAATAGCACATGTGTATGTATGAACAGGGGCACACATGTGGAACACCCAGTGGGAACTACAATAGAGAACCCACACACAGACACAACTGCAGCTACAAGTAGTGACTGCCTGGCACAAACCTGACAACTGGAAGTTCTTCAGGGCTGAGATCTAACTTGTAACACAAATAATAACTAACTGGAAATCCAAGCTCGAAAACTCATGTATCAGAAAGGTGCAGCAGCAGCAAAGGAAGCAAGAAGAGCCAGGCCATGAAAAGAAGCCTCTCTGCCTGCCCTGCACTTTCTTTCCCTTTCTGTACATCTGCCCAGTATCCACAAGGTTGCTGCTTGCTGGCGAGGAATTCACAATGTTACAGAGTCCCAAGGAGGAACCTGCAAAGCTGATGACCCCTGCAGCAGGTAGGTGGCTGAGAACTTGGCACAAAGGTCCTCCTTGCAGATTTGGGCTGCTCTCTGCAAAAGCCGTGAGTTTTCAAATTTTATGACTCAAGAGCAGAAGAATAAAGCAAGTATTACAGCTGCCTTTCAGTCATGCTATCTGTTCTGCCAGTACCTCACCAGAGACCACAGCAATGACCCAAGTGCTCTTTGGGTGAGCAGGAGGCCAGGAATGCCAAGGCATCAGCTTCCTACTCCCGAAGAAGCAGAAGGGGCATTTGCTGCTCTTACTAGTGACATCTTCCCAACACAAGGTGGGGAGGCACACAGGAGGTGAACAGATGAAAGTCGCTGTACCTGTGACAGTGAGAGGAAGAAAGCACAGTTCTGCTCTGCACAAACACTAACCACAAACTGGTCCCCAACTGGCCAGGTCAGAAAAGAAAGCTATTTTGGGAACCCAGTGCAAAGGAAGACACTGAACATCCAAGCCCAGAGCTGTACATAAAGTCTGAGAACACAGTAATTAATGGCAAATCCTTGCCTAGCAACATGATATTTTTCCTATGTAAGGACAGCCCCTGTGATATTAAGCAATGGAAACCACAGCCTTGAAAGGGTGATGCCTTCACTGAAGGACTCAGAACTGCCTTAAGACATACTTCCTAACTTACTTGGGCCCAAAATTATATTAACTTTAAAATCTCAAAAATATACTTCAGTGATGCCTGTGGAATCCAATACATTTCACAGATTATTAAACATCATATAACATTTTAAAAAGCTGGCTCTGGGGCATACTGATGTAGTTAACTGATCACTGATACAAGGCCTCAAAAACTGCACAGACTTACACACGGATTTAGGCCGTCTACTTGCCATACAGCAAGGTTATAACAGAATTTCAGCAAGGCAGTGCATCAACAATACTTCACCTTTACCGAGAAAGGTTCATTATGTAAACTCCCCAAACACATTAGCAATTCTTTGGCAGTATTACTGAGTATGTATGATTTATGAAGAAGAAAGAATCATTCGTTTCAGGTGCCCTTAGGCTGTAAAGGAGATGGGGTGAGAAGGGAGTGCTGTTCTCAATAGGAGAACTAATTGCAAGAATCATGTGCCCACAGATATGGAAGGAAATGTGTGCTAGAGCTGCTTCCAAAAAGATAATTGGAAGAACTTCTGCTACAAAAATTCAGCATCAGTGAACGTTTCTCACAAATTCACATTTGGACAAA